GGATCCTCACGAATACCCTACATTTCATATTCTGGCTGCGTTACCAGCGTGGTTGGTCCTTGTAGTGTAGTGGTTAACACATCGGACTAGAATACCGAAGACGTGGGTTCGAATCCTGCCAAGGGCATTTGATATTTTTCTCTTACTCCCTGTACAGAATATTGAAAGTTCGCGAAGCCTCACAAAGAAAGTCTCTCCAAGGCCTAGACAACATCGCCGCTATTGGTGCTGATAGTTTGAGACGATGCACAAAGTCATTGAAATATTGGAGAATATCGGCGCAAAGCACGACTGGTGCGATAACGTCCGAAAGAACCTTAAGTCAGGAAAGCGTTATCTTAAGACGGAATACAGAGCACAGTGTAGGGAAGACACGAGCTCTTGCGCTGACCACTGCCGATAACATGCCCTCAGTGACATCAAATGCTCGGAGTTAAAGAAGTCGTGCGATCGATTTCTTTGGTCTTGCGTCAATGATTGTCGCAAGACCAAACAGCCAAAGAAATGCGGCTTATTCACCTATTGGGCACTCTTAGTCCCAACGGGATTAATGAACGCTTTGCTTTCAACTAACCTTTTCTTTTGTCTTTTAATTGTTTGTTTTTGTTTCCTTGCCTACCTTGTTCTCATTGGTTTCCTTTGTCTTATTCTATCTTATATGCACGCCTCTCTATCACCTCTTTCTCTTTTACTCCGACGAAGGACTAGCGTCCGAAACGTCAGTAAGTTTTTTCATCTTTTTCACGGTGTATAATTTACCTTTTCATCATTACACCTTCTAAATACATTGAAACAAACTCAGCCGCATATCAACAAGACCTACTTACGATCAGATGGTGCTGGCTGCTACCATAATAACAATTTGGTTGCTGCTTTAAAGGACCTTGTCAAGCATACTGGAATACAAATAATAAGGTAGACAAAACAATAACGTGTTTAGACCGAACACTTTTTTGCGGCATAATATGCATGGTATTCGTTTCGTAAGTGATTACATTCTCATTAACAGATACATGACAAGCTATTTTCTATTTCTTGCAAATGCGTAAAACTAGCTAATAAGATATCAGCTAGAAAGCTATGGAGGATTTCTCATCGATTTTATAATACATTTGATTTTCTCACACGCTTTTGGAAAAACACAACACAATCAATTTAAATGTTAAGAGACCTAAGTTTGAGTAACTGCGCTGCATAAATGGATTATATCATTTTTGGTATAAAGAAACTGAGAACTTCTACATTTTGAATAGTTTTTCTTATTTTTTCTTTTATATATTTATAGGTACGACTTTTCCGAACCACAGTACGGAAAAGATATATGTGATAGGATAATCAGCCCCCTGAAAGGTGCGATGAGAAGATACTGCGATGAGGGTCATGACATCATGTCATCGTCAGATATGTATGAAGCTCTAAGAGCAAGACCGGTCAAGGGAACAACAGCAGCTGTATGCGACCTCGGAGATGTCGCCCCGCAGGAAATTAAGGTCAACCGAATCAACAACTTTAGCACATTCCACAACTTCTCATATGACAAGAAAGGACTTTGCATTTCCAATGCGTACGGCATAGGCTCAGGGAAAGTTGTTACATGGTCAGAGTTAAACGTACAGTATCAGTCTGGCGTTACACTATAAGCGTAGTGGGAGATAAGGGTTTTTTAGAATGGAACCGAGGCTGATGAAACGGTCGCAGGATATACCTACCAGCGACACAGACGAAGAGATCTTACTTGAATGTAAAGAGCCCTGTTGCTCCTTATCTTTCACGACTTGGGATGAGCTGCAAGACCACATGTACTTTGGACAGCATAATACCACGGCCGTAAAAAAAAAAACAGGAAAATTTATATGACCAGCTACGCAGGGAGTGGGCGTTCAAGATTTCAACTCTATCCGATAAAGTTGAGAAAAAGCAAGCCTTCAACGAAACTATTATGTCCGATGATAGTTCCTTGGAGAAAGTTGGGTGGACTTTGCAAAAGCCCAGGAGTAGTAAGAAGTTCTCTGATAAAGTAAAAGCGTATCTAAAAGCAAAGTTTGATGCAGGAAGAAAAGCCGCTCCCGCCGAAGTCTCAAAAGAAATGAGAAAAGTCAGAAACCATGACGGATTAAGAAAGTTTACCAGAGATGAATGGCTAACCAAGGTGCAAATAAAGTCCTTCTTTTCTCGGTTATCTGCATCAAGAAGGAAGCAGCAAGCGATGCAAGAAGACAGTGACGATGATTTGCTGGAAGAAGAAGCTAGAATACCAAGAAGAGGAAATCAGAGATGAACAAATGAAAGATGTGCTGAGTCAGCTGGGCGTGGAACACCCTGTTACCTATGACGGTTACGACATTTGTGCTTACGTCAAATCAAGCTCGTTATCAAAATTCAAGGTTAAAACTTTGAAAAGTATCTGTGAGCATTTTGAGCTGGCTTACAAGTCCAGAGATACAAAAGCTACTCTGCTTAGCAAAATTAGTGACATGGCGAAGGATTGCAGCTGTTCAA